AGACGCACTCTAAAAATGTTTTAATGCACTCTAAACATGTTTGGATGCATTCTTAGTATGTTTTGACGCACTTTAAACAAGTTTGGATGCGCTCTAAATATGTTTCAACGTGCTCTAAACATGTTTCGACGAACTCTAAACATCTTTTATTGCACTCTAAACATGTTTCGAAATACAACCAATGCACATTAAAGAATCAAAATATAAGCATAATAAGCAAAATACTCCTTAAGCAATGCACATTAAATTATTATGTTTACCTCCGTAGTCCGTACAACACTAAGAAGGAATAAAAACCCAAAAAAAAAAGACTAATAATATATATATATATATATGTTTGTTCTTCTAAAACACGGTTCAATTTCATAGCTACATTGGCTTTCTCTTTTACAAAATGACAAAAAAAAAAGAATCATAGAGAATCCCCAAATCACACTTTACTCAAATCCCCCACCACCTAAATACCACTTGTCTTCGTATAACAAACCAGTGGAGATAGGCTCTAACGTTTTTACCATATTCTATGCCCTGTCAGAATCTGAAACATTCGGTGACTCCCAGGTGGTCGGCCAGTCGGCGAAGAACAGATTTCACGGGTTCAGACCCCGACGAGACGGAGCCCGGGAGGTCGGGAAAGCAGAGGGGCGAGCTAGATTCAAGATCTTCTGACCGGGAGAAGGCCTTCAGGACAAACCGGCAGAAGATGAATCTGGAAAGATGCCGTAGAATCACGTAAAGACGTCTAAAGTTGTAGAATAGAGAATCTGCGGAAGTAAACTTACCTGAGGATGAGCCGTCTCAAGAATGGATCGGATAGAACTTGCGCCCAAACGAGGTCTAGGCCTTTGGACGTGGAGAGAATCACTTCCCACTCTGAAAACCCGACGGAGAGTATGTCTTCAGCTTCTTCATAAACATTCTGGAAGCAGGTTAACACGAATGCATCAAAGGGAAAGGATAAGACAGAACATTACAAACACAAGTTGGATTTTTTGAGGGTTCAACTATTGAGAAGGTGATTCATTTGCTTATGTTACGCTTATGTAATGTTTATGTAAGCGATTATGTCGTGTTTATGTAATACTTATGTAAGCGATTACATCAGGATGATGTAATGCTTATGTAAGGAGTTGTAGAAGTTTGAATTTGTGTGTGTGTTAGGTGTGATTGAAGAAAATAAGGATATGGTAGGTGTGATTGATGTGATTGATGGGTGAGATGTGTGGTTATGATGAGAGTGGTAGGTTTGGAGTTTTAGTATAAATAGGGGGTGTTGTATGAAGTTTTTCATATCAAGCTTTCCTAAGCATTTCTAAGCATTTCTCTCTAAACACTTCTCTCTCTTTTCTCTCTTTGTTTTCTTACAAAATTCTAAGCATAAGTGCTACAAATCTTCGATACTTTCTTGGTTTTCTTTCTTTGCACTATGCACTAAAGAAGAGAAGATAAGAAGCTTGTCAATGATAATATAATACAAGCTTCATAACATGGTATCAGAGCCAACTGCGGTTCAAGGGACGACGCTGCACTAATTCAAGCACAAGGAAGAGCACTAGATCGAAGCACAAGACGCACCACGAAGCACAACTTGCACGAAGAGCACTATGGCGGTAAACATCCAAAACATTCAACCCGTTGCTATTTTCGATGGCCAAAATTATGAGTTATGGGCCACGAGGATGAAGACGACACTGATGTTGAGAGAGTTATGGGACGTTGTCGAAAAGGGCGTTCTAACACAACCATCAGAGACTGCAGAAACTCCGACGAAAAATCAAGAGACGGATCTCACAAAATGGAGGGAGATCAAGATGAATATATGACAGCTCTCCAACTTCTACAAAATTTCATCACAGATTCCGTCTTTCGGAAGGTGATAACGGCCACGACATCAAAGGAGGTGTGGACCAAGTTGCAAGAAGCATATCAAGGTAACGAACGAGCCATACTTGTTCGATTACAATCTTTACATACTCAATTCGAAAATTTGAGAATGAAAGATGGAGAAAGAATAAGAGCATATACGGATAGAGTGATGGATATCGCAAATCAAATGGAGCAATTGGGAGAAGGAAAGAAAAATTTTGAAATCATAAGGAAGATCCTAACGACGATGCCAAAGTCATATGCAACTTTGGCAGCGTTGATGGAGGAGACGAAAGATTTGAGAAATCATAAGTGTCACAGATCTGGTTGGATCTTTGATCGCACATGAATCAAAGTTCCTACCGGATGAAGAAGGAAATTCAGAAGGAGCTTTTCCAGCTCGATCGAAAAATCACAAAGGAGATAATAAAGGTCTCTGGAGGTTTAATCCAAAAGGGAAGAAATGGTGTGGTTATTGTAAGAAAGATAATCACGCCGAGGAGGAGTGTTACTTCAAAAACAAGAAGGGCAAACAAGACCAACAAGTAAGGAGGTCGAAAGAATGCTACACATGCGGAAAGCCAAGACATTTGGCTCGAGATTGCAGAAGAAATCAAAATCAATAGGCTCAAGTCACACAAACAGAGGGCATGAATGAACAGCTATTTACGGCACGAGATGAAGCTATGATCGCCCAAGGAGAAGACATGTGGCTAATCGACAGTGGATGCACAAGATCCCTATCCGAATAGGGAATGGAGCCGTAATCTTGACGGAAGGAAAAGGAGATATCATGGTTAACACGAAGAAAGGTGCAAGAGTTATCAAGGATGTGTTCTATGTTCCGAAGTTGGTCAAGAACCTACTTAGTGTTCCTCAAATGCTCCTAAACGGGTACGAACTCAACTTCAAAGAAAGTAGTTGTGTGATTCGTGATCCTATGGGGAGGAAAATTGCCGAAATACAAATGCAGAGGAAGAGCTTTCCAATGCTAACTTGTGAGAGCATGCGAGTCTACCTATACGACTAAGGAAGATTCGATGGCTCAACTGTGGCACCGAAGGCTTGGGCATAGTAGTAACTCATACATGCAAAAGTTACTACAGAAGAATATGGCGAAGGGAATCCCTAACTTTGGCAACTACAATGAGGTGTGTGAAGCATGCCAATTAGGGAAACAATCAAGACTCGTGTTTCCATCATCTTCATCAAGAGCTCAGAAGAAGCTAGAGCTAGTGCACTCAGATATATGCGGCCCGATGCAAACACCTTCGCTTGATGGAAGCAGGTATTTCCTACTCTTGATCGATGATTATTCGAGAATGACGTGGGTATACTTTCTGAAAAACAAGTCAGAAACATTTGGGGTGTTCAA